CAGTAGTACTTACACTACCCGTGCCTCCACGCCAGGAATAGTCACCTCTTCAATAACGGCCCCCGGAATCCATACTTCCATACATACATACGTACATACCGTATGATACAGTACAAACAAGTAAAAAGGACACATATAATAGTTGAACCTGCCTTATCCCAATAGAGTAGATATAACACATCAAGTTACCACCACATCTATAACACTGTAATACCATAAGTTAAAGACCAAAGGTTTCCCCCCCCCTCCCCATCCGCCCTATAACACCCCACACGATACAATACCCAACTCTCAAGTTTTGGTCCAACTTAACCTACAGTCCACCCAACAAATGCTTCCGTGGCGTGGGGGTAGGGGAGAGAAAGAGACCAATGCGTTCGTTCACCAATCCACCCGATCTCATAAAACCCGTGGTAAGTAGATATAACACTGCAATAACAATGTGCACTGCAAAAACGATGTGCTGTGCCGGTACTGCATGATAGGATATGTTTGCCGCACTACACTGCACTACACTGCACGATACTGTATTAAACTAGGGAGATATCACCCACTTCACAGATGTCCACTATAATATCTTGTGTGCTGCACAACCATTTTAGCGTGTCCGGTCTGATCTGATGATAGAGTTAAATTTTCCTCAAGGTGTAGAGGGTTGGAGGCCATCTCGGTAGGTTTTGATGAAAACCCTCATCTGCCCATTTGCGGAATTGTCAGTAGGTCTCGGGATTGAAGAAGGTGATGCTAAGTGGTATAATACAGTACCGGCTGTCGGGCACTTGGCATGAATAGGGCGTGAGATTGTTTTTATTCAATTTTGTATGATATATATAATACGGTACAATACGGTTCAAACCCCACTATATTATTTTAAAAATTAAATACGTATTTCATTCGGTCTTCAAATCTTTGTGCCTGGGGATTTTTACGACTGACTACAAGTAAGAGAGGGGAAGGAAGGAAGGAAGGAAGGAAGGAAACATGTTAGTTTAGGGTGGGGAGCTTATAGATACAAGCTGGTCATTATCTTATTGTCCTAACTGATTCATAGCCCCTTAGATCTCCTGGCAGTCTCTTCTATAAAACTTGAACTCTGATTTCAACTGGAGATATTAGAATGGACACCGGGGTATTGATTTCTATCAACTCAAGCATGCACCTTGAGCTCCCCTTCGCCCATAGGTGTCAAACTTGGTGGAAAGATACAGCCTGTGGTACGGCAAGTCCAATCTCTCATCCCATATCTACACCAGGAAAAGTCTGCTGAAAGTCCTGCTTATTTAGAGTTTAAGGAAACTTTTCTACTTAGGACTGGTGTATCAGGGTTATAAAATTTAGAGTATGTATGTATCGTATGGTATTGTATAAAATGGGAGGGCAAACATACCGTATATTATTATAACATACGCATATTTGAACGCCCTAGGCGTGAACTATAGGCTAACGCGATACCGGTAAATTCTGTAAACTTCCGAGCACTGCACAACCGCGTTTAGGGAGGTGTAGCTCCATGAACGTGCTCGGGAGGTACTGCTCCTAAATCTCTGGTTCTGCATTCCTGATTTTCAATAGGGAGGGTGTTCGTGGAGAAGAAAAATAGATAAATAAATATTCAGGTACGCGTCCAGGGTCCTTTTCAAGGTCAATTTGGTCAAGCTTTACTATTTTGTAAAGTAAGTTTATCATATGATATCCGAGTTATTGTGTGTGGATGAATTGCCAACGAGAATTTGATTTTTCTCTCCCGGTTAGCAAGCTGAGGTTATGCAGAGAGGAGAGAGCATTGCAGCAGTACCGCAAGTATTCGAGTATCATACTTGTGTCACCCTGGCCTGCACAGTTTTGCGGGCTTATTGTTGTTTATCGTCGGTGGTCGGTCCGGTTCGCCTTCAATCTCCGACACCCCAACCCCTAGTTGATAATTTTGCTGACTTGTGATAATCACATCCTTTTTATTTATTTATTTATGCTGCCGTAAGGGTGAGTCTAAAGTAATTCTCTGGGAGGAGGATACCGAAATCTCAATCCTTTTCAACAAGGCAGTCCGGGGGTCGTCACTCTAAAAACGCCGATTTTTCCCCCAAACTTGGTGTGAATACACTTGTCGAGTCAGACGGTTTAGTTGGGTATTATACTTTTTTACAAGAGGCCCCTCACCGTATCTCTAAAGTCAAAGCCCTGATTACCACAAAAAGCTGGGATCTGAGCTTGGGGTGAGTTAATCCACTTCGTCCCGGTAGACGTTGTGTTGGATTCTGGGGTAGATGGGATGGTCAGGGAGTCTAGGGACGACCCACCCCCGCTTCCGGCACGATATGATATTCACGACTCATTGCCGAAATGAGAGCGATGAGAAGCATGACTTCACCCTAGGAAGGTCTAGAAGTCTGGAAATCCAGCGCCAAAGCAATTTTATAAAGTGATAAACCGGATAACTAGACATGTATTGTAGGAAATTTCGGCAGGACAACTTTTAAAAACAGGGCAGAAAGCACTCGACACCCACTCAGGACCTCCCGTATCGTTGTCTCCTGAAGCGGTGCACTGGAGCGTTAGCATCGGGAGGCTAAACTCTAATTGTGGAGTATCCTACCTTCTTCTATGGGACAAGAAACAACCTCTACAGGTCCTTGAAGACACTCAAGTTGATTTAGAATTTTCCGGCATCTCCGACACACGGGGGGTCAGGCGGACGCGGGGGTTCATAGGTGCTTCTGGTATCGGCTGGCTGGTGATAAGAGGTTCTGGTGTTGGCTCGGAGGAGGTTCGAACCTCGTTTTTTAGGGAGCAGTTGCAGCAATAGAACTTAAGGTTGTGTACAGCGATCATGGTGGAGTATGGACACTAGGGACTCTGATAGTGATTTGAAGTGCGTGATTTCTAGGCAGATGAACTTAGGAATCGAATGGGAGTGGTTGAGAAGCTCCGGGGTGAGAGAGGATTTTATCTTGGGCTGTGCAGAGAAATTCCTATTGAGGCCATAATGGCAGTTGCTTTCGTTGTTTTCGGATGGTGCGTGGTGGCGCCCGGGTTGAAAATGATTGGCCATGTTCCCGTCCCCGACTCGAAGGCTAGCACAATTAATGGAATGAGGTCGTTAATAAGCCGGGGCTTCTTTGGAAAGTGTGCTACATACCCCTGTTCGTCACCTGCCGTACCTCATTGAAGACTCTGTGGTGTTCGGTATAATTCGATATGCTCCAAACTGGGGGTACTCCCTAGTGCTATGTGAACCAGACATGAGAGGATACACTGAGACTGTAAACCTGCTCCTGTGGCTGCGCAGTCTTGGGGTGGAGAATTTGGTAACCATTGGTGGGAGTCATAAATTTAAGTTGGGGGTGTTGAAGGAGCTACTTCCTGAGTCGGTCATTCCCTCTCGCTTGGTCGATTTCTATGTTGCTCTGCAAAATTCTAGAGCTCTGGGGAGTTGGGTAGTGTTGGACAGCATACAGGCAAAGACGTTCTTGTATAGGTCAGAAGCAAATAAGGGCTTGGAATGCCTACGTCAAGAGGTAGGCAAGTATGTATGGAAGCGGCAGTACAAGGAAATCCTCGTACCCCTCGAGTTTGGAAGTCTGTTTCTTGGAATCCACATCCTGATGGCCCGGAAATCCGCAGTGATATACAACTAGGTTGATGGGAATTTAGCAAACGAGGGGCGTTCAGCTGGTATGCAGGTAAGCTGTGATTTTGTATCTTACTAAATTGATCTCGCAGCATGTTAAAAGTTTTCCAGGTTGCGCAGAGGTGTTTGTCGGCGGTCAGCTGGACTATAACATTGGCACCAACTGAGAGGAGACAAATTCAGGACGCTATAAAGGAATCACCTCTCTACTTCCTATATCACTCCCGGACTTTCACTTCGGGCACAGTTTGTCATTTCTACAAGCCTGACGAATCGTGTCCATTCATAGTTTTACGAATCAAACGTGGACTTATAATGGATGCGTTTGCTGAGCTCCAGCGCGAGGGATGGGCGAATTTATCCACCTTTCTGGTTAGGGATACCTAACTTACAGCAAATCATCCAACGTTTTAGCTTAGGTTATTGATTAAACTCGGTGGGGTAAGGTTGGATTTCGGAAACAGGGAGCGGCACCCTGGTACAACTGAACTGTTTTACTCATTCTTTTTGCTATATTTTTGATACTTTGCGGGCCTCCTCGTATCACCGTACGATATATGCGCCACCACCGCCACATAGCAGTTCAAGCACAGTAGTCCAGGGCTAACTAGCTCACGCCTTTATGTACAGTACCTCCGCCTGAGCTAGTGTATTTCGAAATAAGTTTTTTTTTATTCTCGATGTGCAGGCACAGGTGCAGTCCCGTGCCGTACATTACAAGTAACTTACTGTGCAAAGTGCACTACAGGCAGTTCAGGACTGCAAGTATAGTACCAGCACGATACAGTAGTTGGATAATAATTTACCAGTACGATATCCAGTCTTGGCCTATAATGCTCTTCCCCGTGCCCCAGAGAACCGGAATAATCCCCGCATAACAATCCCGATACCACGCAAACGTTGCACTTCCCCTTGGAAATCTCCGATACGATACGATACAAGTAAACTTAAACTTGAATCGGGGAAGAAAAAAAATTACATCAACTCGACTCTCCCGGTTTGTCTCTTTTTGTGGTGGAGGGACCTATGATTGGTGCATTTTGAGAAAGTACGGTACAGCACAGTAAAAAATAAAAATAAAACATTAGAAAAGTACTGTAAGAAGCGCTAGTAACTTATTGACGACGCCAAAATGACCGACTAGAGGAGGGAAGGAAATGAAAAATGGAAAATGGAACGAGAGTACTCCTAGTTATATGCAACCCGCTAAAGGGACAAAAAACGATTTTTTTTTTAAAAAAAAAAGAAAAGAAAAAAAAAAAGTCGTATCTCTTCGTATCATATCGTATCGTAAATTCCCAATCGATCATGAACCCCAAAACTCCCTTCCTCAAACTCACATCTCGCCTCCTCCTCCTCCAGCGCACCAAAGTTACCCCTTCCCACCCCCAACGTTCGCCACAGTCCCCAAAAACACCACCATCACCGCGGCGTAGGCCGACGTGGCCATAAACACCTCCGCGTTCCCCGCCTTGGCGACCATCATGGCAAAGCTACTCGTGACGGTCGCCATGACGACCACGACAATCTGTTTCCAGAGTGCCTTCAGATAACACAGCAGCACGACCGGCACGAGCAAGATCACCGGCGCGATCAGCGCGATCAGCGCCCGAGCGACGAGTATGGGGCGGTGGGCCGGGATCTGGGACACGCCGGCCCTCCTGGAGACTTCCTTCTTGAAGACCACGCGTGCTATCAGTGCCGCGAAGCGGGTCATTAGCCCGTCGGTGACGAGTGCCTGGTCGAGGGTTATCATGTCATCTTGGAAGAGCTCCGGTACGCGGTGCTGGAATCCCCGCGTGTTTAGCCAGGTGTTGGTTTTGCTGAGGCTCCGCGTGCTTGGTGGGGGCATGGTATACGTCCTGTGGCATCGCTCGAGGGCATCATCTTCCCCCCGCCAATCATTAGCTGATAGCCTTTGCTGGAGGAAAGGGGATATACGTACCGTAAGCTTTCAGCTTAGTATCCAACTTCCGCATCAACCTTTTCACCATCTCTATATCCCCGCCCCCCTGCAACACCTTGCCATCCTCCTCCGCTAGCTGTATCTCCACCTCCATCACCTGTGCCTGCTTGCAGAGCATGTCGCGGAAGCGAAGAGCCCCAAAACGCCGCACGAGGATGCAGTCGCCCTCGCCGGACATGTAGTCCGCAATTTCGCGAAAGTCTTTGTGTTCTTCCAGGGAGTAGCCCGGAGCTGCGAGGCACGGGGTTGAGGCGCGCGCTGAGCGGGAGGAATTAGAGGGGTGGCGGTTCCCCTCTCCCCCGCTGCCGCCGCCGTAGCCGGGGAAGGGGGAGCTGGCAGAGGTGAAGCCGTTGGTGTGGTCGGTGGGCTGGTAGGCGGGATGGTAGGTGTGAGAGCTCCGGGGGGAGGGCGGGGGCAGGTACTGCGGACTTCCTCCCCCTCCTCCTGCGTGATAGGGGGACGTAAGCTGGGGTGCCGAGAGATAGGCTGGCGACGCCGGCGGGAAGGGAGGGGTGGTGGGGTGTCCCTCCATCTGGGTCCTATCCGGGCTCGGAGACATTTCGTATCGTATCGTATCTTACTATGTATCGTATCCCGGTAGCAACTTAAGGTATAGTTTAAAGACGACGTATCCCGATCAGATTCTGCCCGAATGCCCGGGACAAAAAACTCTGCAGGCGGCCGCCACGCGGGTATATAAACTAGGGGAAAAAAAGAAAACCTGCTCTGTGTCCCCTCCCCCGAGCGGCATATATTAATTACATCACGGCGAAGCACCCATGGTTCCCACTGCCACAAGGACTCGAAACGGTGCTGTACCACCACAATATCTGCTACGGCTATTGTGCAGCTCTCTCGCCAAAATGGGGCGTTACTTAAGGTTGGACGGTGCCTGAGTGCCCGACATCAGCCCCCCGACGTTGACGAGGACGACAAAAATCCTAATGTACCGGTAGTCCGAAATCAAGGATGGAATGGGCACCCGAAAGAAATCGGATGAGCAGGGGAGACTCTGGGTAAATCCACCGTACCCAATATTCACTCATCATCGCTTTTCCAGACCGCGTTTTTCGATCGAGCTAGGATCGGACGAGAACATGGCATTGCCAAGCACGAGCCCTCTTACGGTACGGTATCATATGTTTAAATTCACGAGGTGAAGCCAAGTTAGGCGGGCGGCTTTTACTCGTAGATCAATTCAATGCTCTGGACTATGCGTGTATAGCACTTTTCTCCCTTTTTGTTTTTCCCCCCTTTTTCGCCTCGATCGCCCTAAACACAGCCACATGGTAGTCGACATCTGAAACGAGATTCTGTTCTCTCAGAAGGGCCTCGCCTGGTGCCAAGTGCTGTACGGTATTTACAGGTACTCGTACAAGCGCCGCACCCTCCTCCTGCCCAACACCCACCCAACCGAAAAACAAAGGCGACAGAAGTGGGAGAAACGTAGATGCTTCAGTCAGTCATCTCATCCTTCCACTATTGATTCCGTTTTGTGATTTTGGCGGTGAAAAGGGCACATTTCCGACGTGGGCCCAGCACCATCAATCTCACTGAGGCGCTGCCCTGGCGGAAAACAGGATAGCGGTGGGTGCTTGCAATGCGGAACCAGCTCTCTCGGCACTATGTACTGTATGTAGATCTCGAAAGGTATCGGCCCTCGCCACCCTCTCAGCTCCGCCTTGATCAGCGCGAGTGCTCGCACCCCAAGCTACCGTATGTGCAGAAACATCCGAATGCCAAGACACTCAGAGAATGCGACCGCAACCCGGTAAATCCATGCCCTTCCACACTGGTAACGTACGATACCTCCAACAGCGATGGAGGCGGTAGTGGTGCTTGCTGCCCTATCGTGCTCGGCGCCCTATCGGGGTGCCGGTACGGTAATCTGTCTCGGCTTCTCTTCCAATCCATCGGGACAGATGCCGCGCGTGATAACGGTAGAAGTACCGGTACCGAGAGCACCAGTACTCGAGTACGTTACTCGAGTATCATGCGGTGGTGTGCCCGAGTACGCGCCATACACCCCTTACCTCGCCCCGTTCCTCCCTCCCTTCCGCCCTCATGCCGTAAACCTACTCATAGTCTCCCGTGCTCTGGCCAGTGCTCGCCCACGCAGGGTAAATTAGGTCGAGCAAAAGCTTACAATAACCTGCACCCACTCATACATGTACCATACCCGATCGGATGGCCGGTGCGGGGTCAAAATCGGCAGATCCAATCCAACTTCAATCCCCCCATCCCCTTCTATCATCGTACTTGTATTACGAGCATTCATACCCGATGGGACTCGTATCGATGTTTGATCACGAACAGCCCACAGCGGGCCAGCCTCCGCCCAAATCGCAGCTGAGCACAACCCATCATCTCATTCACGTCATCCACCGTATCAAAAAAAAAGAAAGAAAGAAAGAGAGAAATCAAGAATACTCGAGTAAGAACGCTACCGTAAAATCCATTGAAATTGCTGTCGGATTATCCGAAGTCAGCCAATCAGTCGAGGATAGGCATTCGCTTGACGAGTTACGAGAATTGCTAACCCCAGGTACTGGTGATGCAAGTTACCGGTGTCGACGTCAACCTTCCTTCCTTCCTCTCCCATCCCCTCCTCCCGGACAACCCACCATCGGTGGCAAGGTATCGAAGGGTATACTCCCAGCATTCGTTATGATAGCAGTACTATACCGGCACAGGCATCGCATTGCCGGTCTGCCCAGCGTGAGATATGGGTATGATACTCATTTTGCACCAGCAATGGGCCGAGAAGGCTTTTCTGTAACTTAGGCCGGTGCACTTCCCCCACGTCGCTCTGGCACGCCTTTCGCTAAACCGTCCTTAGCCGCGAAAGGGAAAACATACTCGAGTACGGTGCGAGGATGTTAATTGCCGCGACCTCGCCAATGAGAAATGCTCACACACCGAACCAAAACCGATAACCGGCCACGTAGTGTGCGAGATTGGAGGAATTGAAAACGCGGCGGGGATTACACCTGCCGCATGTAAAAGGAGTTGCTTCACTGCATATTCTGGACGGTACTCGTACACGATCAATACCCACCGTCCCAGCCCCAAGGCAGACCGCGCAGTTGGCGATAATCCACGGCATGCCGTGGTTAATACGCGCCCGACACCAATACGGCGGAACGTCAGGTACTAGTACAGTACGCGCTGCCAGGGAAAAGGTATTCGTAGCTTCACTCCGTTTGGCTCGATTGACTGTTCAAGAGTATTTGGCTAAGCCCCTCTAGTATTCTGTGGGGGACCGCCCCGGCAAGGCTTTGAGGGGGGGGGCGTTCCTTCTGACTGATTGCATGCGGTGCAGAGGGGTCCATGAGTACGGGCACCGCACGAGTAGAGGACAGAGACAGGGAAGTTGACCCAATTGGTCGTAATGTACGCGTAGGCTATACTTGACCAGCGTTGCGCCCATCCCGCCCGGGAGTGCCCCCTCGGGTGGGACGACTTTGATCCGCACACTACGGCTTTCGCTGCATCTTCCACAACTCAGGTTCATTTAGCTGGACAACGCAAGACCTGGTTCGATGAAGCTCCCGGTCGTTAATAGATAGGCAGTCCTAATCAATGCTCGGGAATGGTCGATAGGAGGTTCGTTCATAGGGAAAAGTCCAATATGAAATACCGGTAACTTAATGGATATGACTAGAGGGTGTCATGCACGTTAACGGCTGACGGTATCATACCTACCTCAATCCGAGGGAAACCACTACTCACGTCTGCCCGCCCCGAATATGATGAATGGTCTGCATTTTTCAAAGTTCGCAATCCATCTCATGAGAGTGCCGTGTGGTCCCGGACAGTCCTGTAGGCAGACCACCGCGAAGAGTTGACCCCTGCAAACCCTCGAGCTACGGTACTCGTAGACCCGAACCTACGGCGCAAACGCCATACTGGCGGGGAGCTCGCTGCGTATATACAGCACTTGCTGACGGGGCAGATCCGGGCGTCCGCCATACCTGCAGCCGGCGATGCCTGTTTTTTTGTACTTGTAGAGAGAGTACCGGTAAGGGTGCGATATGGTGGCGCGTACGGCAACGCTTTAATGCGTCGTTGAGAGCACTTGGATCTCGGACCGGCATGTCGGGGCTGGACACTCGGCGGCACCGCCACCGTCAGTCGAGCTACAATACAGCACTGGCCAGGCCTTTCGTGGGCGCCGATACTGCACTTGGCAGCGGGATAATGAAGCGCCGCGGGAGACGATACCACTGGCAGAAGTTTCCCCGATGCGGTAATGGGGGCGCAGCCGAGCCACACTCCAAGCATCGATCGAGCTGGCAGAATCTTCACGACAAAGGTGTGTGGAGCAGAAAGTTTAGAGGAAAAATCATTGAGTTAGCACCTCACTGAAGACACCCACGGTAAAGCTAAAAAGGAAAAGGGGCCAAAGAGAGCGAAGAGGGAGAAATCTATCAGCTGTGCCTCCCGCTTGCCCGGGGTCTTCTTGTCTTCTATCGCTTGATACCCCAATACCGGTGGCTCCCGGAGCAATAAAAAGCCACAAAGAAAGCCACCGAGAAGCCCTTGCCCTGAGGACACAGCCCGGGAAATCTCCTCTTGAAAAACCGCTGCCCCGTGGAAAAACTCTGCACTTGGGAAAACAAACCTCCTTATATAGCCACCACCACCTACGCCACGCAATCACGCAAAGAAAAAAAGAAAAAAAATACTTGCAACTCAGACAATCTTTTCCAGGACGCGCTTCCATCCCCTTTCATGACCTTCCAAAAAATTTCCAAGTATGACATGATACCGGTATGATATAAAAAACCCCATCATGAAATCTTATTCGGCCCCAGCGCAAAAACGAAATAAAGAAATTAATCGCTCGAGACAACCGGCCGCAGCTAATGATATTTTATCCCTCACAGTACGGGGTACCGTACGGTACTCGCAAATACGACCATTCCAACCAAAACGTCGTCAAATTCACGGGCAAGAGGTGGATGTCCTGGTTTATCACCCCTTGCCCATCTATCAATCTTTCTATCTACACGTCCGACAGCATTGTACGGTGAGAGGTGTTGAATTGATGGGAGGGGGAGGTTTCGCTCGAGGTGTTATATCATACCTGACCTCTCTCTCTCTTCGTACCTACCGTACTCTATAATACAACTGTAGCAATGCACCGCATCTTGGCTGGAGGGATTTGGTACCCATATTGATAATGGATGACCTACGTTAGCTTCAAATTTTCCACATTTTAGTCATCGGCAGCGTGGTTGGTGTGAGATACGGTACCCCCCCCCCCCCCCCACCCGTGGATAAATTTGGCTGGTGCTTCTTGAGTACTGTACGAGGATGGAGACGATACTGTAGTTGCTGGAAGCTTGATTCTAGGCTCGATGTGCTGTACTGTGCTGTGCAAAATATCGCATAGGGCATTTGGACAGCATCTCGTGTCACTCTTCAAAATAAAGTAGCTTTAGCACGACATTTACAGGTATTTACATGTGCCGACAACCGCCCCTTGAGTTTCCAATCTATCCACTATGATCCAGGATAAAACCCCTCCCCCATCATTACCGTCTCCCCATCCCCATACCACAATCTCCCAGCTTGACAAACCATCCCAACCTCTTCGCCGAGGGTCCACTTAACCTGCACCTTCTCCAACCATTTATTGATCTCGCCGATTCTCTCCAGCCATTTCTTGATCGGGACGCCGCCCTCCGTCGGGTGGTGGTTTCCGGCGGTAGTAAAGCGGCCGATAGTAATGTGGGCAGATGGGAGCGCATACCGGCTGGTTATCTCTACTCCCGTCGCTGCAACCATGCTATACAGATCACGGCGCAGGTGGTGATAGGAGTAGTTGCAGGCCTCCGCCGGAACGAACGAGATTGCAATCCCTACGGCGTCAAAAGAGACCATGGGCTCTACAAGGACAGTGCGGTTTCTAGTCTGTAGAGAGAGGATCTCCGGAAGCTGTGGGACGAGGATATCGACGTAGGTGTCTATAAACTCCTGTGTCTTCGAGTGGGAAATTTCCAAGGCCGTCATGTGCAGCTTCTCCCTCGGCATGCACCAGAAGTCTAATGATGTATACGGTTATTCATCTGTTCCGTTCCTGGTATAAATTTAAGGGAGATACCTGGTGCGAGATCAACCAATCTATCTTGGATTGTCCTGACGATCCTTGATCTTTTTTGTCGGGTGAACCCACAATGTCAGACAAACCCTTGGGTCGATCTCCAGAGGATCACGCAGTGGTTGTCCGGTGGGTTCGGTAATGGCGTTCCCGCGAGCATACTCCAATTCCCGCAGAGTCTTGTCGGCAATCATTCCCCTGAAATCCTCGGAAAGCATCTTCCCTGCCTGTTGCCTATTGCGGCTGCTGCGGTGTACGAGTACTTCATAGGCTCTGCTCATTTCCATCTATATATTTGGATTTGCTTTAGCTTGCTTGTTTAACGTAAATTGGAGTTACACAGAGGCAGTGGTGCACGAACCGCATTTTTGCAAGCAGTTATTAACTTGTCGTATGGATTGGAGGACTCCGCGGTAGTGGTTGAGGGCCCCGAGATAGCAGAGGGGTCCTCAAAGGAATTATAGGCGTCGGCACCAACAGGAATTATGAGAGAGTCACAAGCAGGGGAGGCAGGCATTCTAGAAGGCAGGGCACTCAGCTATATGTACAGTACTTCTGCTAGCGGTAGACCTGCGCTACGGAGAATTTTGAGGGATAAGGTGGAGGGCAAGACGACAAAAGGAAAACTAAAATCAGCTATCAAGCCGCAGGGGAGACGCAAAAGAAAGCAAAAGCCCCTATCAGATGGCCGGGGGCGCCAACATCTCACTTCTATCAGCTCTGTCCTACTGTACACAGCAGCATCAGATAAAACATTGAAATGATAAATAGGTAGAGTTGTAAACCGGGCACAGCCCCGGACCCCGCTGATACACACACCCGTTTCCCCACTATCAGGACTTGGCATGTCAGGAAAATGCTTCGGAGGGAGCACAATCGAACAAACGTTTAAATTCAATATCCCTATCGAAGTCCATAAGTCTTCTATTTACCATCGGGCACATGCGGCCTCTTTGCCTCCGCTACGGTAGTCTCCCCAAAGTTGCACTTTGAACTTTACCCCCGAGCCGACCTTCACCCTCTAGGATACCATTATACTTTCGCCGTAAAGGTAGCAGGTGAACCACATCCCCCACATAGGACTCCATCACATCATCCCTTAAAGGCCTTTCAGCAAACACCGCGAAACTTCCCACGAGTTTCGGATTGAAAATCCTCCCTTCCCCCCTCTTCTTCCTCCAGAAACCCCCCGGTGCATCTCCGCTCAGTCTGGAACCCGTGGCAATGCGTTTCGCCAGCCCCATAACGAGGTTTCCTCTCCTGAATACTCCATTTCGGACCTCTCCTGTAGCGTAATTCATCACTTGAATGCCTTGCATGCCTTGATGGGAGATATCGTGTAGGTTGAATAGAGCGCCCGAATCATTATGCACATCACATAGGCATTTGGTGATAGATGGTGGCCCGGGGGCCGTCTTGAGATTTCCCGCTTCGTTGCTTTCCCCGGGCAGAAAGGCCCCCCATCCGAGAGTTGTTATGTCGAGAAAGTAGGTACGGTTTTGAGTAAGGATGTGCATCTACATGATAGATATCGTGCCCTCATGCCTGAGGTTTTTCCTTCAAGGTCTATGTAAAGAGGAGGGGGGAAACTGGGCACATCTAAGATTGTTCTGGGTACAGCCGCTAGAACAGGGAGAGTATCTATGAGGGTACACCGGGGGGCCGACATCCTTGGCCCGGTTTTCGGTAGGATCCTTGCTGAAGCTATGCCGTATAGAATATTTCAGGGTGACGAGGTGCAATCGCTGCACCTTATATCTGCCCCTTAAACCTCCCAGAACAGTTACCGACGGTGCAGTGGGCATAACTCCATCGGAGGTAGTCTCGTAGGATGGAAGATAGTCAACCCCCCCCCCCACCTGTACCGGCGGCGTCGCTATCTGGTTTGCTGGGGTTGACGTCGTCCCGTCGGTGTAGTATTTTCACCACTCCTTTCTGCCCATTCCCGGCGGCCCAACGGAATGCTGTTTTGCCCCCATCACCTGGTTTGCCGGGGTCGACGCCTTCCCGTACGGGCGGCGTTTTCACCACTCCCCTCATGCCCTTTCCAAGCAGCAAACACGAGAGGTCTACCAGCCTCGCTCAGTGCTTCTCTGACGGGGTGTCACTACGGACTCCACTGATGCCCTGTCGGACACCTATCATGATGGGGGTGTCATGCATAGCAATATATCCTCTGAGTGGTCAGAAGGGAAATCAATGTAGAAATTGCTACTGCTGACCGGACTCTCAATCGTGGGAGGTCTTCCCTACCCAGAAAGAAGGATATTATTCTGTGCTTCGTAGGAGCCCTCCCCCTCAAAAAGAGCTGCAGAACCGCCTTCTATTATCGCTTGGATGAAAATTCAACATACATAAACCCTTACTCCGCCACCCACTTCACAAACACCCTATCATGCATGACTCCCCCGTCGTTGACATGCCGGTGTCAGTTGCCCGTCACCCGTCGTGAGCAACACTACCAGTACGTAAGGGAATTCAACCATTAACAAACACGATAGCCGATGCCAATGCTGAAAATCCGGAACATCTATGGATATGCACGGGGGCATGTGCGGATCCGGGGAATAGGAGGGCTCGAATGTGTTTCTAGGAAACGGTTTATGAGTGGCTCTTGACCGTGAGTCAGCGGATGTAATCCAGGGGACCTGTCGCACATACCGTGAACCATAGGTTGTGGAAAAAATCGCTCCCCCAGACCCCACCAAACTCCCCACCAAGACATTCCCACTTTATAAAGATACGTTCCTGGCCGCTTTTCCAACGTACGAAACTCCTGAAACTGCTCTCCCAATAGTCACCTACCCAGCATCCCCCGTGCTCCTGTGCAGCTCTGGCCACCACCTCCGAGAGCACAGGAACCAGGGAACTTGCTCCTTTCCCCTTAAAGCAACTTCAAATAAAACATTCAAGTGGTAGCTGCAGCTCACTCGCAGGGTATCCTGGCACTCGATGGAAAACGGGGGTAGAAGCTAGCCTCCAGTATCCCGTAACAGGCAAGAAAGACTCCGGAAGCCCAACAGGTTCATTTCGAGAAATAATCGAGATGTCCTCCCCAATCGGAAGTCTAGTCAACCCACAAGTATTCTGGGGGGATTCGTTCCAGCCATCCAACCAGCGATAGAAGGTCAAACAGATGGCCCCCCGGGGCCTTCAGCTGCCCCTCTCTCGTCACTATGGGCCCTCAGCGCCAAAATTGTCCCCGCACAACCGTGAAGAATATCGAGAAACCCGAAGGAACGAACTGGGATCAAAACCACCAGCGATGGGGCCATCAGCCTCCATATAAGCCCTCCTCTGCGTTATCCGATAGCCCGTGAGCCCCGCTTTTCTATCCGCATTGGAAACATAATTGCACTTAAGCTTTCTTTAGCATAGAAACCTACCTTTGGCTGAAGATACTATTCCTTATTTGGATTATGCAGCAGATGGCAGCACAACGAATGAGGGATACAGTAACAGATGCGATATCCCGTTGTACAAGTACAGTACCTCTCCAGTCCGAATGCAAACCAGCCAATCCTTATTGACACAGAGAGATGAGGTTGAACATTCGAGTGATATTCTATGATTCCGTACGCCCGATTTCGGCAGAAGCAAGGACTGCTGGGCTGTACAAGAGGACTCAGCCGTGGCATTGCATAAAGGGCAGTAAGAGGTTGTATGCACATCCTAAACCTTTGGTTAGCAGAGACTAGAGGTTTATCACACAGTGAAAAGAAAATCTTGTTCAGAGCCGGGCTGTCGGGCTGAACCCTTTGATCTGCGGTTCCAGTGAAGAACTATTCTGAAACCCATTGCAGGTCGGCGACGTTTTCGTCTAAGATTTCCCAGTACTTGGGGCCGGCGTGCTAAACATGCTCCAACCGTAGTTACCCATACACTGCAATCGCATTGGCAACCTTTACTTGCAAGCGAGTGTTGCGGTCCATCATAGACGGTTTCCACCTTGGACTTCCTCCCACATAGCCATTGTTCTTCAACACACCCCCGTATCCCGCACCAACTTGAGGTTTCTGTAAGTAATGAGAGCACTTTGGAGATTCAATTAGGTAAATCCCCGTATCTCTCAACAATACAGTACGGGCACAGCAGACCATTCTTGGTACCTCTATCCCAAGGACGGTACTCGCCTATCGATAACAACACTGACTAGCCGGCCAGGCTTATCGACAAAGCCAATAGGCAACTACCGCTATCCACCACCACCACCATGACCCAGCTTGGACACCAGCCGCTGCATCGTCATCACCATCACCACAACAGCTACAGCACAACTCTCCATCTTTTCAAGGCTCCTATCTGCAAGGTGTACAGACCCTTGGTGGGCGCAAAGTACAGCACATCAGCCTCGCCGAGAACATCACCCCTCACTCACATTCGGCCACCTAGTGGCACAAGAAAAATAAATCTACGGCCGCCCGCGATACCCGTCGTCGCGCCACCTTTTATTCGGCCCGATGGAGCCAACATCATGCACTCCGGACCTCTGGAGAATCGACGAGTCGTTGCTTATCGAATCGGCCCGGGGTCGAGTGAGTTCAGTGTGCGCCTCTTTCCAATTATAACCTCTTGGCGTTGCCGGGCTTAAGCTCTCGCGCACAGAAATGCTTTTGTACAAGTTAGTACTTCTCGCGTTGCTGAAGGGGCTCTTGGCCAGGTACCGGCACCGTGCTCGAGTGTGCTTTGTTGCTTGGCGGAAAGTACAACAAATATCATGCGGGAAAAGAAAATATGGAAGACAATCGCGCACTTGTTGGCCTCGCAACTGCAGAATGCAGTCCGCGAAATACAAGTGGCGCCATCGGGGGCTTGTTGACGGTATCGGTGCCCGCACAATACCCCTCCTTTGGCTTGTGTGCCGGTACCCCCATAATAGGTGATAAGGCGATAGTTTGCTAGCTGAGGTCTAGATGATGACTCGCGACAAAAAAGGAAGAAGAAAGAGGTAGAGCTTGAACGCCTCCTGCTTTCCAAGAGCCTTGGAAAAATTATACACGTACCGGTACTCGAGCACGATACAAATCCAGTATGGTGATACCCATATGATCTCTCTTCTTCGGCACGCAAGGAAAACCCCTCTTTTCATTGAATGACACGGTGATCGATCCGCGTGCCTTCCCTGTGGGCTGTAGCGCGGGTCGTAAATATTACGGAGCACAAATATAATCCCCGAGGAACCTTTCACAAGATTCTTCGAGCCCAAAATTAAGGGATCTCTGCTCTCGCTCGCTTAAAAGGACAGAATTGGGAAGGGTCGAGAAACTTTTATCGTCACTTGTAGCACTATCCCGTGGGGCGGGTTGAGAAGCACGTTTCCGGCAGACTCATTCTGACTTTCCTAACTTACCATCACACTCGAGTGATGGAATCTAGCGCAGTCGCTGGAGTCGAATGAGGGGGCAGGGTATGGTGGTAAAACACGGCAACTGAATCATCCGACCTGGGACTGAGTAGAGTCTGTACCGGTACTGCGCTCTTGGTAACAGCATTTTCTCTCTTGCACTGTACCCGTACAAGGACTGTACAGCACTCGAGTATCACACCGCTATGCAACTCAACCTCTCGGGTCTTGGTGCTCGTACTCTGGTTGTCTCAGGTTTTCTACTAAGACCGAGAAATTGAGCCCACACAACAGGGACATCACATTTGCAGTGGCCATTGGCCAATGGCTCTCTTGCGATGCACTAACGGTAACTGAGTGTGGAGTGCAGCCTGTCCGGTCTCTCGCATTGAGACTTTCCCCTGCTTATGTTCAATGCGATGACTTCTTGGTTCTCCCGCGAGTCTCACTGTGCCTGCGTCGTGGGCAAGGCACCCATCTACTTTTTTGCCCTCGGTTCCAGCAAAAGGTCGCTAAGGTTATCTTGTCATTGGAGGGGAATTGCACTACATGACTGAGTTGTCCCTTGATCGAATTTGAGCGGCACGAATATGCAGACGGGAAGACTGCTCAAGGTGATGCTTGGGGACGGTTACCGGTAAGTGCTTCTTAGATCACCCGAGCATGAAAGCGGGTACTTTTTTCTTTTCTTTTCCCAGCTGGACTGCCTGCAGCATTGCTTTCACGAGCGAAACTCCGCACACAAATTCGCGTGTTCAGTTTGCGTTGCAAGGGAGCACAAGCAACAACCCGTCATGGTCAAAATTGGCCCTTGTTTTCTTCCACCTTCACTACCCCTGTCGGTTCGCTGTGGACTTGCCGATATTATTAGTACCGGTACTGCACAAGTGCTTGTGTCTGGCCGATGTATCTGAAAACCGGACAGGGTTTTCCTCGTTGATTAGACGGTCGTGTAACAGTACCCGTATTTTTCAGATAGCTATTGCCTGATACAGGTACCAGAAGGATATTAGCCTTGGAGGTCCCACAGCCTTCGGAACCACGAGGGGTGTTTAGAGCCTTCCCCCCCTGCTGCTACTGGGTAGCGTGCGGCACACCAGCTGTACCCTAGAAATGGTTCCAAGACACAAGCTTTTGGTTTGTAATACCAGACATCAATCCGGATCCCATTGAAAATAAGGCAACGCACGCGGAAAGCGATTGGGGGCCCGTCTCTCGTCCGCTTTCATTCGAGTTTATGAAGCAGAAATTCATAGAAAAAGGGGAATTCGTACGGTGTGCATTTCGCCCTGTTCTAGGATCTCAGTATTTTTTCGAAGGATCCATTTTTTATTACGTTTCATTACGTTCCTCCGATATTCCTTGGGCGGGAACGCTCGAAATGGCCAATACGTCCTTCCTCGCCGTTTAACCTCTCTCCTGCTCACCCCTTTCAGGATTGAGGACGGGATGATCTCCGGGAAGAATTCCCTTTCGCTGGGGACCATATCCATATGCCAACCCAGGCTCCATTTGGCGTACCACAAAAAACGGCATCATTCCGACCTTTCTCGACGTTTTTGTCGAACGTGAATTCTTTTAACTATGTACGCTTTCTATTGTACAAGTAACCCAACCCATAGGCCTCCCGATTGATTTTCATTTTAACCAGAATGGCTAATTGGGTAACTGCTATCTGAGTATATGGCCTGTTTTCCGCCTTTTGGCCGAAGACCTTTGGGTGTTGGAGAAGGTGCGACCCCCGGGAAGGTGGTATTTTTTTGTACCATGAGGTGCCGAACAGGGCCTACTGTTATGATAAATTATAGAGGAAAAAAGGTATCATATCATGCCTCCATTGATGTCTAGAAAAGATGATGCCAAGTTTAGGCTAGTCTAACCTCCAATTCAGGAACATCGCGCTCCCGTCTATCAGCCGTGTTCAATATATAACCCTAGGTCACTAGGTCTTCTCGGAATTCCCCTTCTTTGCCCAACGTTTAGCTTGCCTACTATCTCTTGCTTTTTGCAGTGGCGTTTTTACGCTGTGAGTTGGTATACATCGTACTGTACAGGTCACTGTAGCACACTCCTTTGAATTTCTCCCTCTCTCTCTTTATAAATTCGCTTTCGTTCCTCCACTATTTTCTCTTTCTCTTTCTTCTCCACCCCTCTCCGGAGTTCTTTCGTTGGGTGACCAGTCGACAACCAACCTTCGCTCGTTTTAAGTTTTTTTTCCTTCTTTTTTAGCCCATCATGCGCGGATTTGGGACGATACTGGCCCTATGCGCCGCGATATTGCCTGAAGTCTCCAGTCGGTCGTTAGTTGGACGGGCTGTGTGCACTACGAATTTAATTATTGATAATTACGCCCAGTATTCCAGTCATTTGAACTCCCTTGGGAGTTGGACGAGTGGTGAGTGTTTTCCGGAACGCAATTGAGGGTGAAGGGGTAGCTGACCTGGTGGTGATAGATGATGGTTCGATGACTTCTCTAACAGCTTCAACCGCCAATAAGAAGTTGTCCTTCACACCAAAGGCCGATGGCTCTTCGTACTTTTACACAACCTTCTCGAACTGTGTCTCAGCCACCGCTGACAGATATAACGCCATAACATTCCCCTTCAAGGGTCCTGCCGGTGCCTCTTTCACGCTCGAGCTTCAAACAGCCAGCAGCTGCTCCGGGAGTTATACAAGCTATTACCATGACGTCACTGGCCTTACCGGTTCCACTCAAACCATCACCGTGCCATTGTCGTCCTTTCCCGGTGCCAACTTGGGCGTTATCGTGGCATGGGCTTGGTCCGGATTCAGCACTGCCGGAAGCTGGGAGCTTGGCCAGACTAGCTTTGTGTGTCCCGGCGGTTCTTCCAGTGTTCCAGTTAGCTCTACTACCTCAACTACCTCTACAAGCTCTACTGCTCCTCCTAGTTCCACTAGCTCTAGTAGCTCTACTAAACCTACCACCTCTACGACCTCTACCACCTCCTCGAGCACCACTAGCACCACCAGACCTACCACCTCTACTACCTCTACCGCCTCTACCACCTCCTCGAGCACCACTAGCACCACTAGCACCACCAAACCCACCAGCTCCACTAGCTCCTCTAGCACTTCCAGCGGGACGACTTCTACCACGTCTAGCATTGTGCCAACAGGCACATGCCAGCCCCTTCTCATCGACGACTGGGCATCGCAGTCCCGCTTGACTTTCCTCTTCTACAATGCCATGAACCAACCCACCTCCGACGATGGGACCATGACATCCATTGTGGTCGCCAACAACCGCGTGACTCTCACGCCAAAGGCCAACTCGTACTTCTACTCCAGCTTTGGCTGTGTGAGCGCCACCAACAAGTACGGGGGTATCAGTCTTCGGATCAAGGCAGCCGCGGGTACCACATTTAACATTCAGATGCAATCGAGTTCCACCTGCTCTACAAGCGCCTTCAACGGATTTGATAGGACAACTACCCAATTGGGCTGGACATTCGACGGCACCGAGAAGTTATATAACATCCCGTTCTCGTCCTTCTCCGGACTTGACACGAGCAAGTTGACTACCATCTTGTTTATCACGTTCAACAACAAACCCGTGACCTTCGGCCCAATGGCATTCTACTGCGGAAGCACCCCAACGGAATATATCCCCCCGCCAACAACCACCGGTAGCGACCCGTCGTCAACTGTTCCAGTCACCAGCGCCACTGCCGGCGCACTTGTAATTGACCAGTTCGCAAACCCGGACAGCAATGCCCTCGGCTTCTGGCACGGAGGAGACGATCCAAGCCAATACAGTATCTCCGGTGGCAAGCTCACTGTGAACTTCAGAGACACGGATTATGCTTTCTACAGTCAAATTTCCGCTACCTGCCGCGATATGAGCACCTACGAGGGTGGATACCTGCACATTGCGTACTCCGGTTCAAACCTCTTCACTGTAGCTCTTCAACAGCACAACAGCGGTTGCAACGAGGCTGTAGCACCGTACCCGGAGACATGGGACGTCGTGGAGGCCCGTAGGTACTCTTCCGCATCAGACATCTACGTCCCCATCAGCCACTTCAACATTATCAAAAGCCGAGTCATTGGCGTAGCTTTGAAGGCTTTCCAATCGAGTGCTTCCACCGTCATCACGCGCATCGAGATCGTACAGACCGTCCCGTCATCCTTCACCGGTAGCATCTCGGCCAAAATCCCCACAGCGCCGCTCCTCTTCGCGTGCAAGCGCCCCAACAGCTTCGCCTTCGCAATCGATGACGGAGTCCCGGAACTCGCCCAGCAAGTGCTCCAAATCATCAGGGAAGAGAACATCAAAGTCACCTTCTTCACCGTCGGGCAACCGCTGTTGGACGCCAGCACTAACCTGTCAAACGTATACACGGAGATGCTCTCACGCGGACATCAGGTAGCCCTCCACACCTTCACACATCCAAAGATGGAATCCCTCGCGACAACGGCGGACATGGACTGGGAAATACAACAGGACGTGGCGGCCGTTCAACAGAAACTCCACATCAGCAGCAAGTACTACCGCCCGCCATTCGGTAACGAGGGGGCGCGCTCGCGGCAGCGGCTCGAGGCGAATATCCCCGGCTCGCAGGTCATTCATTGGAGCGTCGATGTCGAGGATTGGCTGTGGGCTACCAGCTCCACGCCGCAGAAGCAACTCGACGCCTTCAAGCGGGATGTGAACAAGGGGGGGAATCTGGTCGTTATGCACTACTTGTACCCGTCCACCGTCAACTACCTTAAGCAGTTCATTCAGATTGCGAAGGCGACCGGGAAGCAGTTGATGAGGGTCGATCAGTGCATGATGGATCCGAATGCGCCACCTTTGTAACGTTATCTTTCTTTTTTAATGCCTTTTCATTTTGTAATGGTTCGGCCCGGGGTTGGGCATCTTGGAGGGGGGTGGGGGTGGGTGTGGGACGGAGAACGATGGATAATTTAGTCACTGTCAAAAGCACTAGTAGCTAATGGAATGATATTTTACGGCATATGGATTCAAATTGAAATTGCGCTCCGTTGAAGCTTGAATGGTGATTTGATGGCGATGGGCGAATAGGTATAGGAAGCGTATATATTAACGTCAGTCATGCACAGTCACTCGCGCTGCCAACATTTTCCACCATATTACACGCCAGAAAGAAAACTCAGTCATCACCGACGACCTCCCATTCTGAAGTACCATCATATCACAATCTTAGAAGTATGAAAGGATCAATCTAGCCCCGTTATTTCCCCCGTCCTCGCCATTCCAGTTTGTCATCACAAGCAAACCGCGACAAAGCTAAGGTGCCCTCGGGTTATGGTAAATCCGCGGGCTGGAGTTGGGGGGAGGGGGTGGCTAGGGTGGGGAAAGTGGTCTAGCTGGACCGGACATGGCCTTATTGGTGTGGCTTGTGGTTAGATGTGAAGGTACGATGGGCGGTGCAGGCACGTACAGTAGTGACTAGAAGGAAATATGTACCGGTATTGCAGTGGTGTCCGGGAGATTACACAGCGGTGTAGGATGCGTATGACAAAGTATCCCCCACTGTTGTGAGCGTGATTTCTTTTCTTTTCTTTCCTGCTGTTCACCCATCCGACTTGGAGCCGGAAATACAAAACAGCATCAACAGCATCACAAGACAGCACTTGCAATCCCACTTCTGCACATACCAGGATATAGTTTCGGAGAATCTATGGCGAGTGTTGATTGGCGGGGGGGGTACATATACCACACCACACACACTCCATGATCCTCCGGTACTTGCCGTGATAGTGTGCAGTACAGGTACAGCAGTGGAAGTTAACGTCGGGGGTAAATTCAAAGTGCTGGAAGGGATATCCCAATATTATACACGTGCTCGGAAGTTTTTCCGAACACGAGGGGAATCGCGGGATGCTAATGGCTCTACCTAAGAAATGGAAGAGAAAAAGTTCTAGAAAGGCGGATTTGGGGGGGTACGAGTACGGTGTGCAGCGTCAGCCTTGTTCACGAATGGTATTCGATTGTGAGCGGTGTGCGGTGAGTGGGGGTGAGAGATTGTGTCCCTGCAGGAAGGCACTCGTAGTGTGTGGTATTGTACTGTACAGCGGTGACAAGAAAAGTAGCCGGACATTAGCGGAAATTTCCATGCACTATGATACAAGTTCATAAATGTCTCCGGAACTCTGATCCATAGTTGATACTTCATTCTTGAACCTCCCTTCTCAATCAACATTTGAGGCGTACCACCTATTATCTTGTAGATCTTATTCCAATCCGGTTGGTCCCACTCCTCTCTTGCCACTCTATCCCCTCCTCCTCCTCCTCAGTCCTTGGCTTCATATTGTGATCTGTGGTGGATGAATCTTGTTGCAGCCACACTATATACTGTTCCAACCAGACTACCGTAGTATCCACTATAAATCTACTTCCAACGCTGTCCGGTTACCTTCTTCTCGCGGCTGTACGTACATAGTAGAAAGTGTAGTCTAGTCTACTCGGACAGTGGTGGGAACAAAAAAGGAAAAAAAAAAATCGGGAAAACAATCGGCGAGATCCCGTGGCGCGGCGAGGGGGCGGGGGGCACTACCACAGGTGTCTGACTTCTACAATCCAATGTTTCTTTTCCCATAGCCTTCGTTT